TATATATATATAAACTACTAAGTTTATCCATACGATGCAAATCGTTTATATGCTATTACTGCTTTTATAATTATTTTGTATCGATAGTTCCATTGTTCTTTTGTCTCCAGGCATTCTATATTTTGACCATGCTATGACTGGTCCATTCAAAGGCATTACATTTTGATTATATGGAAACCATCCATTTCGTGCTTTGCCAATCACTCCAGTTCCAGTTTTATATAAGAACTTCGGTATATATGTAAAGTTTTGTTGTTTGTGTGGATTACATGGTTACACGCTAATTCTTTAACAAATTCGTCAATTGTAGAAGGTGGAATAGCATATAAACGATTTGCATCGTATGGAGCGACACTTACAGAAACAAGTGTGCTATATCCGATGCATGATCGGGCAATCGGTGGAATATTGGAAAGAATAAAAGAATAAAATAAAAACAAAACATATCAGAAACCAAAAATAGTCTTTATTTCATCACAAGTATCATTATATTCAAAATGTTGAAAGGATCGATATGGCATCGATTCTTTGGGATCTGGGATGTGAATCAAGATATCAATGCGCCGCTGTAAAGCAGTGAAGGTGTATCCTTGAAAATGGTACCAATCCTTAGGGTGTTGATTTGAGGTAATGAATATCCAATCAGAAATAAAATTGGCAAATCCTCCTTTGACCGGTACCTGGTAAGGATATCTGTCCGATATTTTGAGTAGTTCGTCGTATTTAATCCATCCATAGAAATCGTCGATGATGACTGCTCTATGGTTTGAATATCCGTCCCACCAATTACCACGTGTTTTATAATATATTTCATCTTCGCCAACCAATTTTTCGGCACATTGACGAACACCGAAGCTTTTGCCTGTACCTGGGTAACCCCATACAATACACAGTTTGGTTCTGTGTGTTCTCTTAGTTCCCAGGCGTAACTGACATGCCAAATCTCTGATGCCACGTCCGAATTTAATGAAGGCAACAGGGTGATTCGTAGCAACAGCGTTGATTGGGTCATCTGTAGCATCCAGTAAAGTATCCACGACGTTGTGCAGGTCATTTCGTTGTCCTTGAGAATTGATTCTTCCATATTCTTCGTAATTACCTCCTTTTACACAATATGCACGATTCTGTTCTTCTGTTGGTCTTGCTATTTCTACATGTGCACGAGAGCTGATTAAGGCTTTGAATCTGTCTATGGTCGTTGGTATTCCTCGAGCTGCATAACCTTGTAAGTGGGGCGTAAGGGTGTTTGGGGCAACTTCGTATCCCCAGACAATATAACGAAAATTGCCTTTACCTTTCCATACGTGCAAATATATATATATATATATATATATATATATATATTATATATTAAACTGTAATATACAGTTAAATAAAGTTGTTTTAGTTTTGCTTCAGCTAAACATACACCATGATTTTATGCACATGTAAGCTGTGGCGGGTTCTCTATAATTTCTTGATTTCTTTGGAGTCCTGTTTTGATGAGATGTCGTACGGTACTTCAGTAGAATGCTAAGAATCGTATGATGTTAGGTCAGAGTTTTAACTTTATGCAAAATTGATGTGTTTGGTGCAGGCTGGTGGAAATCCTTAAGGCACAAGACCGCCCTGATCTTCAATTTGAAGCCGCATGGGCCCTCACTAATATTGCTTCAGGTAAGTATCTTGTTAATGCTAAGTGGCACATTTCTTCCATTCAGTGAATGAATGGGATGGATTTCTAGTAGTATACTTACACTTACTACTACTTAGTAGTATACTTAAGGATTAATTATTTGCAGCAATATTTTAGGGATAACTCAACGCTTAGGTTATTTGAATATGGCAGTTTATTATTTCTATAAAATTTTAAGTTTTATTAAATAATACGTTAGTTGCTATGGCGAATAAGTGCTATAGGTAAATAAATCTAGAGACTTAACTAAAGTAGATTGTAAGATGTAGGTTTTTTAAATAAAGCCATAGTTCTTGAGCAATGGTCAAACTGTAATATCGCTTGCTTTGGCATATCCTGATAGGAAAAAAACGGGAGGTTTAAATACGTAGGGTGTACGTGGCCTTTCACAAAGCATCGATTCCGTGACTTCAAAATTCCGACTAAGCCATCGTAATGCATTGATACATAAGTATCGCTGTATTTATAACCGACATATGTGATTGGGAAACTGGTAATATAACGCGCCCTCCAGCATATTAAAGCTAAATTTAGGCGAAAAAATTTAACCTTCATCATTACATACCTCATACTCATTTCGAAACATATCCATAATACAAATAATTTTTTAGTAAGGCCATTCTTAAGCAGCTGACTTTCCAATGTAATTTTCTGTGCTTAAACGAACTTTCTTTCTTAGACAACCTGTCCTTCATAATTATGCATAAGATTCATTTAATATTGCTTTTCAAAAATAATACGTTGTTCGTAGCTTTCAAAAGCTACGACCAACATACTATTAGCAGCCGTTAATGATGTGCTAACATCTGTTTCTAAAAGAGATTCGAAATAAATTTAATGAATTAGAATTGCTTTTCACGGGTCAAGCGTTTATGAGAATAAATATCTACGAAAAACAAAACGATTCAAAAGACCGAAAGGAAGACGATTCCAAAAGAAAGCGCGGTGAACAAGCACGGAACAAAATAAATTTTCAGTGCATATATGCATGTGGCGTCTTATATTAGATTAAAAAATCTCTTTAAGCGACTTTTAAGGGGTAATTCTATGGAATTAAGGTTGCATTCGCGGTTTATTAAATATGTATATATAAAAAGCTTCATAAAGAATTAGAATTAACAAGTATCACCCTCTGTTGAACTAAAGGCTGGCTTAGTAACTATTATGCAGGATCTATAACACTTTTATGTGGACGGCACATATGAACATCAAGCGAACGCGGTTAACCGTCGACCAAAATAGATAAAGAAATATCGTTTTTATCAAAACGATTTGTTTTCCCAACAACTTTTACGTATGCGCATTTACTTTACGACCTACTTAAAGATATTGATACAGAGTCTAAAGAAATACATGTCTTACTTGATTTCAGGCACGGCGGAGCAGACGAAGTGCGTCGTCGGGGAAGGCGCTTGTCCATTGTTCATACAGCTCCTTGGATCGAAACACAATAATGTGGCTGAGCAGGCTGTGTGGGCGCTGGCAAATATCGCAGGCGACGGACCTGAGTACCGTGACATGCTGATTCGAAACGGAATAATACCTGCTGTGATTAAGCTTATAAAGCAAGATACGTCATGCAACTTCTTGGCCAATGTGTCTTGGTGCCTTAGCAATCTCTGCCGCAACAAGAATCCTCCTCCTCCGCTCGAAGCTGTTGTGGAATGTCTTCCTGCGATAAAGCAACTCTTGATGCATGAATCCAACGCCGTGATTTCGGATGCATGTTGGTCTCTCTCATACATTTCCGACGGAACCGATGACCGCATTCAAGAGGTGCGTAAACTATAATATTTATCGATATGTTGTTACATATTTTTCGGAAAATAATATCGATTCAGAATTTCCATGCGAATGGCAAGTATAAAGCTTGATGAATGGATCATTCTTTAATATTATGCAGCACTATAGCATGGAGATGCCCAAATTTTATACACATTGCTCAAAATATACAGAATGCTGTAAGATTCACTGCTTCAATATAAGATGAGCATAAACTTGTAGAACAGACGATGCCTTTCGTGTAAGATGTATTCCAGGCCATTAACAAGTCAATAAAAAAAAGTGAATGAAATAAAAAGTAGCTATAGTTTATTCTATAGCTCTAGTATTTGGTAGAAGTGAAATAGTAGTAGTGGAAAACCTCAAAGATCACCTTAAAGCTAAGGCTCTTTTTCATTTGTTTACACGAGTTTTTCAAGCATGCATGCCCCGATTCGCCAGGGATGAGGAGAATTTCATCTACACATGCTGTCACACACTAACAAAACAAAAATCGGTAACTAAAAGCTCACTGCGATCAAAATATAAAACCTAATCTAACTACATATTCTTGCTCGCTACAAGAAGCTCCAGCTAAGTACAATAAGCCTTGTTTTCAGTCGTCCTTATGTCGAAAAATTTTTCCACTAAGAAGATATGGCACATTATTAAATAAAGTTTCACGAAATATTCGGGCGCGAGAGGTTTTGAAGAGCCTGTTGTTTGATCGGAGCGTTAGCTTAATCTTCTGTCTAGTTTTTAGAAAAACTCGAAAAAATAAGTTTTGTCTGTATAGCCTCCGTCAGTTACGTATAATATAAAAGCAACGTTGTAGTACATTATAATTTATAATAAATAAAGTTGGGTCCAATATTTCTCTAATCTAATCGGCGTTCGGGTAGCATAATATTAGTTCTTATAACAAACTGGCTTCAGGTAATTACTAAATGAAAGAGCAAGAGTTTTTTTTCTATATGCGTATCAATATTATATATCATATCAGCACAAGTGATGGTTTCCATATAACCCGATTTAAGTGATATCTGCGAATTGTGTCTCGGCTTTTTGCTAAAATTAAAGTGTAGTATCGGTTCTTATCATTTCAGTCTTTCAATAAGCGCCTGTTACTTTCACTTAAGTATCTTATTATTAAGATACAGTTCGCCAATTTAAATACCTAAACTCAGCCGATGTTTTATTTAACACACCATCCCCGAGGTGGTGAGGTATTTTTCACATCCCTGCTATTTGAGATTGTTTTAAAGCCGACAAACATTTTAATGCTTCAAAAATCGTTAGTAGTATGTGAATGTTAGAAACAGAAAGGGGTTTTTCCCGTTTTTGTAATATATATAGTTGTCCCGAAGATTTTTACATGCACACATTAACTACAGGCCTGAACGATTTTTATTCCAACTAAATTAGTTTCCCTTTTGATTATGTAAATCATGAGTATGTAGAACTTGGTATAAAGGACAGGCATTTCTTCCAAATAAGTCATAAACATTTTAGGATCTCAGAAAATGAAGATCGTTTAACTTTCCTTTTCTGATGATTAGCTATGACTTGAACATTTACGATTAGACAGTGGTTGACCAGCACTAGGTTAGATACCATAGTAAATAAGTCAAATATTCTTATTATATCTGTGTAATGGTGTCCATTGTGTAGCAGGATTATTTTGTTGAAGTATATTGTTTCTTTGAATGTGTGGAAAAGCTCCCTCTTTTTCTGTTTATATAGGATAATCTCCCAGACTGATGTCTGTAGGCTTCATACCACAAGACATCTTTGCTGATCCACCGAAAAGCTTTTTCGACAAGTTAGGGATGTGATGGAATAACTTGAGTTTTTTTCAGTAGCGTAGCCTCGTTTGTAGCGCTATGCTTGCTTATAGCCATAGGTGACAATCCGGTTCTGCTAGATTCTAACAAAATTAAGTGACGTTGCGGTGATGCAAAGCAATTCAATGAACGGATTTTCCGCGCCTTGGTGAGCGCATGAGAAATTACGTCGTCTAAATTGGCAAATTGTCACTATGGAATGCAAATGGAGCTGTCTTCAAAAGCGTCTCGAATTTCAACTTCTTAGTCGACCTGGTATCTCTGAATTTATGTGAAGAGACAAAAATTAGACGAATTTGCTTCTGATATACTTCGGGCTAAAAAATTAAATCTGTCCTTGTACAGGGGTGTGACGTGTAGTAAAAGCATGCATTGATTATCGACTAATAAACTCCTAAGTCTCTTCACATTGGCATTCCATATAAACCCAAATATACAAAGCGTTTTTACAAAGCTTTTCTATTTCAGAAAATCAAAGAAAAACAAATAGCAAATTCCGGTTGTTTCAACAATATCGCTGTTTCTCAGCGCGAACGCCGATAGAGGCAGAATTTCTTCCCAAAAATTTTCCCAACATGGAAAAAGCTTACGAAGCTAGTCATCTTGCTATCTAATTGTTTGATCAAGTTCTGGATAACTCTTTACTATTCTGAGAGTGGTGGTGTAATTACTTGAATATGAATGTTACAAATTTAATCTGATTATGTCTGTTTAGATGTTTTTTGCTTTTCTATTAAAATACCTTATGGAACGTTAGATAGGGTATTTGACATTAAGTGGGTCTTAGCTTCTTTGCATGTGCCACTATTATCACTTCAAATAATCCGTTTTATTCAGATACTTCGGTCTCTTTTTAGGAAAATGACATTGGTACTAAGAATATGTCCCTCAAAGTGTTAACTGAACTGAATCGAGGTTTTTCAAATTATCTGAATAATAAGGCAGTTGCGACATAATCCTGCTACTTCGATTTTGCCAAAGCTGTCAGCTATTCATAAATAAGACAAAATAAGGCTTCAAGTTGGCAGGATCTCTCCGTTCATAGAAACTTGTATCGATCAATGAGAGATAAAGCGAAGGATTTGTAATGACCGAATAAAAAAAAAATTGTAAAATATTAATAACTATGCGCAGGCCGATTTGTAAATAACAGTGTAGTACCATAACTACTGTTTAATTCATACACGTAGCTAAAAAATAGGTACTAGCGAAAGGATAGATGTTGAATACGCTTATTCTACTATTTAGCTGATAAATTAATGTGCATTATATTAATACTTGTACAATACCATTAACTCCGCATGCTTTTGCTTATGATGACTGATTTACCTTAGGTGGTGGACCAATACGTACTCGATCGTCTCGTAAGCATAATTAGTTCTTCAAATGATCGTAATCTTGTTGTACCAGCGTTACGCACCCTGGGTAATATTGTCACCGGAACTGATGTACAAACGCAAGCGGTGATCGACCACGGTGCCTTACCAGCCTTCAGGTAAAAGTCTGATCTGCAGAGCTAGCATGTATAAGTTGACATAATCTTGTAGGTGTACAATGATCATCATTTTATTGAGTTCTCTAATGTTAACTTTTTTATTCTTTAATTAAATTAACTTAATTAGTTAAAATTAATGAACTAAATTAGGTATTAATTTAGTCCTTTAATTGCATAGCCGTTTGATTAAAAAAAATCAGTAATCGAGTAATCAACGTAATCGAAAGTAATCGAGTACAGACATTCGCAAATCTTTAGTGTTTGTTTCGGTTGTAATACAAGTTTTAAGTTTTACATACCATAAATGTGCTAACTTGAATTACTTAAAATCAGTTTTTTCATTTGTATCACGGTGACCTCGTTAAATAAATAAACGTTTTTCATGTGTGAAGATTTTGTGTACAATAATGTGAAAAGGGCGAACAAAAATATATTTTAAGAAAACTTTGCTTTGGTCTTGGATTTACCCTTTTCAGTTATAATTTATTAAAGGTTTATCACATCTCGAAAACTTGTGTGCAGGCATCTTTGTGATTGGTTTAATTTTGATTTCTCGTAGCTCAAAGATAGTGTTAGGTATTGTGAAATTGGAATATATTAATAAGAGTTAAAACACCTTCTTGCTAAGTAGTTTTGTGAAAGGTGTTTAAAACCTCACTCTTAAGCCCGTCTTGCATAATCCACATGGTTCGACATCAATACTTATAAAATGAAATTTCCGGGAAAATAATGATCCTCATCACAATCAAAAAGGCAAAAAAAAACAACGTATGTCATCTGGCCATGGCTAAAAATATTCTTAAAATCTAAATGAGTACTGGAGATGCTGCTGAAACAATATTTGAAAATAACCTAAATCTAAACTGAAAATAATTTTTTTCTGGCAAATAACTTGCGATTATATATATATATATATATATATATATATATTATATATATATATATATATATCCGAATATATATATATATATATATATGTCCGAAAGAATATAGTTTTAAAGTGAACGCTCTCTTCCTCTCTCTCCCTCTCACTCTCTCTTTGTGATATGGGCAAATAAGAGAATAGCATAGAGTTCACTTTGATGATAAATGAGAATCATACCTTTCTAAGATTTGCGGTTTTCTGTCACTTCTTAAGAAAGAGCTTTTTTTTTATTTGAAAGTTTCGAGACTATGGGTTAGTATTACTCTATCATAGCTAATATGAAGATGCAGGCTGCATAATAGACTGTAGTGGAAATTTTCAGTATTTCGATTTAGCCCAACAAATTGTCCTAAACCTTGCACCGCAGTTTTGCGTAGACCGTAAACTGAACGTATTTAGTGCGTCTTCAATTGAGATTTAAGCCAGATATCACAAAATCAGATAACACTGATTGCGCGCAAACAGTGTAGTTTTATGCTCTGACTCGTTAAATGTTACTCACTTCTGTTATTTTACTTCTCAGGCATCTTTTAACTAATGAGACATTGAATCTCCGCAAGGAAGTGGCATGGGCACTCTCAAACATCACAGCTGGCAATCAAAGTCAAATCCAAGCTGTGATTACTGCTGGGCTTGTTCCTTGTCTCATCGAACTCATTCAACATGGAGATGTCAAAACGCAGAAAGAGGCTACTTGGGCCATTTCCAATTTCACTTGTGGAGGAAGCGTAGATCAGATAGGATTACTGGTCCAAGAAGGTGCGTGTGGTTGTACGATTGACTAGTGGTTCTCGTTGGTGGTAGAACTTACCCCGGTATGTTTTAATACCCTCATATTAAACATCGTTTGAAACTTGGTTTTATTTTCAACAACTGCTCTTGATAATAGATCTAGATAATAGATAAGATTAAGTAAAATGTCTGCCTGCTACAATATAAATACAGCAATACGAAATGTACTATTATAGCCCCGCACGTGCTTTATATTGGTATAGTCTTTCACTGAATACACAAGAATCTTCATATTAATCGTGCCTAAGATGCATAAGAGAAAGTATTCCACATTCTTACTCAAGTCTGTGCTTTCATTTTCATAACACATAAAGATTTAAATGGTGAAGTCAATAATTTTCATTATATATATCGCTTTTTTCGGGGAATCGGCGAAAAGAAAGTTGATTAATGAAAAAATCCACGGCACCTTCTGTTAGATATCACTATGCTGGGACTACGTCTTCCTTTAGTCATTGTGCGAACCTGCGGAGGCCGAAGTGCTTTTAAACGTAAAGCAACTTGGCCAGACAGGCTAATGACATTTCAGTCTGGCGCCACTCGCTAGCAACATTTCATGCGAAAAAAAAATTATTTTTTCGAAAATTGCGAAATTTCGCGCAAAAATTTGAGATTGCAAACGATGCGGCTGCATTGAATAGCTATTACACACTATAGTTCGAAAATTAATGCTAAGCTGCCGCATTGATAATACTAGAGATACTTTTCTTAGTCATCGCTTCCTAACAGTTAGTTAGCTTAATATAAATCTGGAGTGCATTAGTTTAAAGTCATATTTATATTCGACTTAATGTAAACTTCAGGTGTACTCCAACCGCTTATTGACATGTTAACTCAAAATGACGCTAAGATCACTATGGTGGTTCTGGATGCTGTAAGGAATATCCTACAAGCCGGCGACAAGATGAACCAGCGTGATACCCTGTGTGAGGTACTCGAGGAAATGGGACTTGTTGATCAACTCGAGCGATTGCAGGCCCACGAAAACGAAGAGGTAAGAAGGACCGTCACTCGCGTTACTGTTCTGTGTTGTAATTAACCTGTCTCGTGCAATTATTCATATTAATGTTTTGAAACGTGCGATTGAAAATACGTGTATGTATATGTATGTATGTATAACATAATTCACTAACTATGAAGACGAAAAACAATGTTACGAGTTTTAGATTTACGGGATGGCGGTTAAACTCGTTGAGGAATATTGGGGCGCAGAAGACAGCGAAGGTGAAACAGGCCCTGCGGTAGCTGAGGACGGTCAGCATTACATGTTCAATCCCAACAATCCTGGATCCGGCAATAGTCAGTTCCAGTTTTAAAGTTCTATAGGTAAATAAATAACAGTGGCAAGCGACTACTGTTTACATGATCTCCAATATTTTCCTCTCTCTAGGCCTATCTGATCTTATATGTGCAAAGCAATAGATCACAACTACCAAACCATTGCTATTTCACGGGTTACGTTTCCGAAAGATTTTGTTTTTAGTCAAAAATATTATGGTTACTATCCGCAACTGATAGTTCCTTCGTACAAAAATTGGCTCAAGCAAAAATGGCTTTGGCTACGTAAAAATAGCCATCTATGTTAAATGTTTACGTAGAGATGTGTTAAATGAAATGACTGGTCAAATTAACACAGAGTAATAAAGCTCTCTGACAGGTTTTGACCACCTAACTCAAAATCAGTTAGCTAATGTTTAAGAATTTAGTAAAGCGCTTTGCTGGATCGCCTAATTTTATTATATTTATCACTCTTGAATAACGCTGCATTTTTTTAAGAAATTGGTGTGGACATATCTATAATGAATGCGACAATCATTATCATTGTGAAGAATAAAACAAATGATTGGGTTCAATCGTTTGGTTTTCATTTGGCCATTGACTAGGTTTAGTGGAGACTATAGAGTTTTATTTGTACGTACACAACACCTGAATCGTCTGTCAGAGATAAATTTCGCTAATCCTTTACGTTTCACGTACCCGTTTCGTTAGAATATTTCGTACGTAGTATCAGGTTTTTGTTAGATCAAGGTAAGTCAATTTTCAAATCAGTTCGAGGAAGCCTTGACTAAAGTTTACGTGAAGCAAATTGCAAAGCAGAAGGACACAATATTTAACCCAACACCGCATCAGCTTTCAGAGACTCAAATCAACCAATCAAGCAACAATGAAATGAGTATCGACGCCAAGTTATTACCAATGATACCTAATAGGTCATGAGACAGAAACTTACATATTCAAAAGCTTTTCGACTACTTTCCCTCTAAGAAAAGTGCAGTTGAAAGCAGAGAATTAGAAAAGTTGTGAGAAGTTGAAAATAGAGGAACCTTTTGTCTTTTTTGTTATCACACTCGGTACCCATTAACTACTTGAGCTAACTTTTTTGAGTTAACTTCCTTGGCCAGTACTAATGTAAATACGATTTTAGATAATCTAAATATGCTTCAGCAAATGGCCGATTAGTTAGTTCCAGTTCTTAAATTTGTGCGTATGTACCTGTTCATCATTAATATAGTGCAAATTAACCCGTTAGAATTCCGTTTGGTTTGTTAACGTACTGGAAGAAGCGTACGTACAGTGTATGCAGGTGTCTTGATTCGCAATAGAGCTTAGCGAGCTTCTACTCGTATCCCTGTTTTTGGCTAGGATATTGTCTACGGTCTCGACGAGCTAAAGGATTCTTACCAGTGTCTATAGTTGCATAAAACATGTAAATATAGCATGGTCTGTTTCGATTTTCTTGACATGTTACTTCTCGTAAAACAGCTTATCCACTTTCTCTTGAGCTATCCTATGACTCTTTTAATGCAGTCTTTTTTGTGATTCAGTCAGTTGCCTTTACCTGCGCTCTAATTACCAAAAGGAACCGTGATTCTACTATTTTACCTTTTACGTGGAGTGCGTACTCGTTTTCTTCCTACCTCGAAAACCCTGTTACTATAATGAACTCTTACAATGTTTTATATTAGCCTAAACTGTCGCGTCGGACAATTCCCTAATACTACGCACTACCGAATCCTGTCCTTCATGAAAACGTTATGAAATTTCAATATTTTCTAGAAATGTGCCTAGCAATTGCCGAGCTGGTTGCAAGGAATATGGTATATGGAGCAGTGTCTAAGTACTACCGGTCGATTGACCCTTTAAGGCCTTACAATCCCTTAGTGGATATCCATTTTAAACCTTATTCTTATAAAAACGAATGTTGATGTTATCTAACTGCTTGATAGCGGATCGTTTCTAATATAACTGTAGTTCAGGAAATAAGAATCGTAATACAACGAAATATAATGCTAATTGGGTAAGGCTGATTTTTTTTTATGATACAAACCTATTGTAATAATATTATACACTATTTATCAAGGAAAGTTTTTTTAATGTATTTCTTGCCTATAAATTATGAAATGTGCAGTTAAGTCGTTTAGTACTTAATGCTTACTCAATTAAAAATGTCGCTGCAATTCTCCTTGACCAACATATTCAGAATTCTTTAGTATCCAATATTCTGAACGCTAATGGACGGAAGAGATACAAGGTGGAGCACCCAAATTTGGTAAAATGCTTTTTGTTTGTTTGCAAGACTCCATTTATATTAAAAGGAATATTATAACGAGAGTTTATCTGCTAGAGTTAATATTCTTGACGGTCACGCTTATCCCACAGAACCATCATTCGTCTGTAGAGTGGCACCTAAGTTTGGTGAGCACAAGTGAGCAGACTGATATCGGCATGTCAGTCTGATGAATGAAATTTGTTTAATCAGTAACGATTTATGCAGGTAATTCAACGGCTTCAAAAATGGCGTGTTTCGAGGTTATGTATACTCGTTTCAAAACAAGCATTTATTCGCATGCAGCTAATGGAAGACTAATCGGATTGTATATTATTATATAACGTATGATCTTCCTTCAAACATTTCAGCTATGCAGGGTGACACAACAATCTATACAATATGTAGGTATTGATTATCTCTACTGATGCATTTGTTTTTCTGGAAATGTAAGGCAAGTATGGCAATATAACGTGTCCTGTACTGGACAGTATTCTCAGAATAAACATTTTAGCCGCGAATTTACTTCTATCCACAATAGACACATCCTCTAGGTTGTCAGTCACTTCTGCGGTTTCTTTGTACATCGAGGACAGAAATCACTCATCAGAGAAAAATCAAGAGCAGCATGCTGTTTTGTGTGTGGGAGATTTAAGTAGCAGAAACTCCAATCATACCTCCTTCATGTTTTTGTTTTTGTTTTCAGGGAGCACTTGTTTTTAATTTCTATTGTAAACGGCGTATACCTGAGATTTTCGTAAACAATCCGTGATATCATCCACATCTAATTCCTTCCCTAACACCCTCATTGAAACAAAGCGATTACTGGAAATGCGCTTTTGTATGACATCAGGTAACTTTCGAGTCCGCCCTGTAATGTTGGAATCTACTATTGTTTTTTCATTCCGTAGCAACATACTGATTTGCACGACACGGTGCATTTAATTCGGGATGACCCAAACTCGATAGGAATTTATCTAGTTCGCAGATAAATTACGAGAGCGACGTACTAAGAGAAGTGACATTAAAATGGTTAACACTGAGGCCAAAAAAGTCTCACTGCATAACTGTATAAACAAAACAAAACTACAGCGTCAGCTACTTTTCAAAACATCGCTTGCTTTTAACCTGCAAATATGCTGCTGTATAGATTTTACATCAAGCTCACTTCTGCATCTTTTCAACCCGTGTAAATATGTATTATTTTTTCGAAGATGTTTATAAACTAGTACGGGCTTATAAACTTATAAACTTTTTATATTCTAACGCGAATACTGGCTTTTGGTGGCAGAAAGCCAGTTCTTTCAGCCATAGTAGTAGCATGAACTGACTCTTAATTATTACCAGAGGTAGCGCATGAAAGCACGCTCATTAATCCAATAACATTTGTCTCAATTTTTATACAGTACTTTATATACGTCCTGCAAAACCGAGTACGTGCGTAAAAATAATGTTTTTTGATATTTAGATTTCCAGCATAATTGGTCAACTAATATACCCAGTGAGAGCAAATAAACGAGCAAATAATTTTGTTCAGTTTAAGAAGCCAAGTATCTGAAGAAATGGACTTGGAAATGGTGTTTTTATGGAAATATTTCATGCATGATCGGTGTCCTTATCCATGGCTAATATAGGGGCTGCAAACGTACGCTTAGAGCTCTATGAGGCATGAGCCCGCAGATGGAAAAGACATACCCTTTTGCATAACTGTAGATTTTTTGTAGCAGTAGATCTGACCAGTTTTTGAGCAGTAGACCCATATACAATAAATGCATTGCCTAGACTATACGGCAACCTCTGCATCTCACTTCGTACCATGTACCATTCTTTACTCAAAACCACTGGCACAATATATTTCATTTTGCGCCACATCAAATGCAAGCCGATCTCTGTTGCAATGGCGTGATTTAACGCGCGACGAGGTTAGCAATCAGAGTACATTAGAGATTACTTTTGCCAGTAACGACAGCGCTACAAAGCATAATATTTGTGAACTTTGTCACGCGCAGGATAATGAACGATATTCCTAGGTTATAATAGCTTTTGCACAGGTGACGCACTGTTACTAGGCATAGACTGAATCGGAATTTGGAAACGTATATATAAATTTGGCACAGATTAAGTTTTTTTAATTTAAGGACCGTTTATTTGGTTGTTGTAACTAGGGCTTTTAGCAGGCGAATTGTAGTGAACTACAGAAAGTCAGAAAATTTGCCTAGATTATGAATACAAGTTTCATCCAGCGAAGACAGCTCGCTACACAAACTTTGTATTTAACGAAAGCTGTTGATCTAGATACTATATATATAGCAGTCAGTGCAATCTCCAAGTTGAACCGTGTGACTGCAGTATCCTGCCTTTACGAGCGTAACTGAGGCTAGCATCGCCTTTTTGACTCCGCCCTCGATGTGTTCTGCAAAAGACTTTCCACACCGTTTTAAGGTTACACTTAGGTTCACAAAGAAATTGGTCATTTATAGGCTCTTCTTGCCCAAACGTAACGAACATATCTTAAAGATGTCTATTTTTGAAAATGCGCAGTGTAGAGTGGCCATTGCACCATTACTCCGTACCTAAAAACATTTTTAAATTTCGAGTTATAAACTATAAAATGATTTTACAAAGTGCCAAATTAAGAATATGGTAAAAGGAAGCGAAGTTTAAATTAATTTCCAATGTGCCTTAGTTGACTGTCATTTGTAATTACACGGCTTATAGTTATTAAAGCAGAAGAAATAATAGTTGGAAGTAGAGCTTATATTTGTTTGTTTTTTAATTAATTTGATCTCGGGTACTAAAGAGAATGAGCATTGTAGCATGAGTGAAAACATAGTATATATTGAAAGACATAATATGATAGCCTGACCTCTAATTGGGTCGTAATATGCTATTGTGATGTTCGTACAAAGCTAGTGTTGAAACAATTTAAAATGTTACTATAGAATACAAGATATCTGACAAGCATTAGAGTTTTAAAGCGAAGCGGTGGATTCTACTGCGCAGATACGTCGCATAAGGCTCACACACGGATTTGATTTATCGCCTTGAGCAAAGTTGGTTAGTTATTCATTTCTTGGGAACTCTGATATTCTGTCGACAATTAAGACCTCATCTCTTTTCACAATCTGAATCGTAGAAGTATCCCTGATACGTCAATCCTCCATGTTTCGAGTCTTTTGTCCGATATCGCCGTTAAGCATTGCGTCGGATGGCTGGCCCCTGCCAGCACAAAACGAACAAAACATGACAAACACACATGATAAAGATCGGCAAGACGTTAGTGGACATATGTTTACTTTGCGTGTC